CCAACGTGCATGCCCACTGAAGGCTGAGGTCCCTGCACATTGACCCCTATTATCAAAGCACAGAGAAAACAGGACAACATGTCCTCTCAGATGGAGGCCCTATGCTCTCAACGTAATTATCAGCACTGAATAATGAAGTTCAGAGAATGAACCCTACAACCTGAACTCTAAATGTAAAGACTTGAATAATGCATCACTCCGCTGAACACTAAATCATACCCTGACACGCGATGGGTCAAATGAGCCTGGATTGCAGAGTTCAGGAGGATCAGGAAGTTGTCCTTGCTTTCTGGCTTCTGAATATCTTGGGTGATTGTCGCATCTTTGGAACTTACACTGCAGAGCCCACTTGGTTTGGGGCTTAGGCTTTCTGGACTTGGTGATTCTTTGTGTCCAGGTTCTCGGGCCTGCTCGCCTTCCAAAGGAAGGACAGACTTGCAAATCATTAGGAAACGGAAATGTTGGTTTTGCAGGTAGACTCAGTTGCTACAGGCATCGTCACCCAAAGCAAGTAATGAAACAACACGTGAACAATGCAAGACTGTTAGATGGGCAGATGCAGAGTCTCCGGAACAACGAGTCAGAAATGAAGTCAACTAGCCATCTGTTCAATTCGGCCCAAACCCTATAAAACGCAATGTGCTCCCATAAACCCTCAGCCCGGAATACGAAAGTAACCCCAAACACCAGTAAAAGCAGAACCGATGATCCATTAATGCTTGGCAAAGGTAGGTCACTCAACTCTACACCCCTGGATGCCAAACCCATGGTTCTTTCCGCCGAGAGGCTACGAGGAAACCAAGCTTGGCAGTGTCCGCGACATCAGCATACCTTTCTTCATATTTTGCTTAAAATTCCCAAGCTGACCACAACCATGCTTCAGCGAACTTCCTACACTGTTTCCTGCAACTGTTGCGGTTGTCCATGAAGCTCTGTATTGGCCACATCGTGTTGGAACCTTCCAACTTCCCTTTGCCACGGTTCGTATCCGAGCAGATCCTGCTTGCATCCTTGTCTGCGTAGAACTACAGGCACCAGTGCATACCAGTATTGTTCCGAGGGCCGCGCAGAAAGTCAGAGGCGTGTGTCATGTTGCTGGCGAAGGAAAGGATCCTGACATGTTGCAGGCAGGCAGCTCCACGGGCAACCAGCTGCAACAAATGCTTTACTGATGAACGCAGAATCCGGTTCTGAGAAACGCGTATCTTCACTGATCTTCACCAGGGCACACATCAAAAAGGATCGCATTCGTGAGCGCCCAGACGAGGAACATGATCAGAAAGGAACCTGCGCGTGCTGAACCCACCACGTCTTCTTTCGTGCGCAAGTGCCAAACTGAGCAAATCTTTTACATCCATCTTCCTGCTATTACTCCTGCTTCAGCATGCGCAAGATAGAGTGCTCTCCACCAACAACCCCCACTGATTGGGTCTCTCGCAGATTGGGACTGCAAACAAATGCTTAGACTTTTTGGGCACGCTTGTTTTGCTCCGTGCTGGAATGGGAAAACTGGTCTGGAGCTCCCAAGCGGCCGCGGCTTAAAACCTCCTACCCTAAGTTTCCTCACCCATGTGCTGCGAAGGCCCTCCTGTTAGAAGCTCTTGATGGCTGCTCCTCTACTCAAAGCTCTATACTATTATACGCCTTGCTTCCATTTGGGTAGCTAAGTAAAAGTACACCCAAACCTTGGAGACTTCTAAGTTTAGTGATGCCTACCCGTGGAGCTTCAAGTAATGACTACTGAAGTCTTGTTCGGCTTCAGAAGTTCATCTCATCGTCGTCGCAAGGTTGTGCCTTCCAAACTTTTGCGGGTGGAGCTTGTGGTGCAGCCCCTTTACACAGATGAATATTCTGCCTTCTAATACCGCGTTGCGTCATCAGGAATACAACTATATACCTAAAAACAAAGTGTTTATTGGTACTGGACCTTAGATCGGTGGTACTCTCTATGCAAGCCAAGAATGGGAGTAGACCCCTCCAGCCGGCAGCCATCACGCCCGCAAAACAGGACACATGTTGTATTGCAGACCTTGTAAGGATCAAACTGTGTGGAATCCTGACGCTTGTTCCAGCTGTCGGCAGGATTTGAAGTTATACAACGTTGGCCCGGAGCTTTCTCAGAAATCCCAAATCTTGCACAACTCGGTTGTTTTCCATACCTTAGGAAGTACTGGGGTTTGTGGGTCTGCAGTGGTGCATGTTGTCCTCCATCCACTTTAAAGGTCCTAAATCCGAAGCGCAAGTCGCGAAACCACAGCCCTGCAAACCCTAGATCCCAAAGCCAAACCAAAATCCCAAACCCAGCACCGCGGCGCAGGGTCAAGGCTGGGCGACCGGCCCTCTTTTGGAGCAACACCACGCAACGCCTGCATCCCATACGCAAAGGGAGCGCTTGAAGGCTTTTGGTATCCAGACATGGGCTATAAATCCATATAAACCCTTTGAATCTAGGCAGGCCTATCAGAACTAGGAGCGCACTTCTAGCGATTCTAGCGACCCTGCTGAAAGTTCATGGGTACCTGAGAGCAGGTGCTGCGTCTCGTTGGGTGTGCAAGTGATGAGCCCAAGAGGGATTCCCGGATAATGATTCTGGTTTCGAACGTGCAAGAGCCTTATGCGTGCAAATCCAGCCAACTGCTTTTGTGATAGCTCCCCACAATTTTTTGTAAGACTACAGTCTTTTTTAGGAGTCATACGACAAGAGGGCTGGACATCATGAACAAGCCTGCGTTGCAACATATATGACATGTATCTTTCTTCGTGCATCGCTATCTTCAAGCCTTGCATCTATGCCTATAGTTCCTGAACCCTCATGGAGTGCAGCAGACGGCGACATTATTTCAAACCCGAATCCCTGCCAAGGGTGGATCCACAGGGCAGTACACTGTAACTTCACCCCGCAGAAAGCCGAAATCAGGTTACCTGTGCTATGAAGGAAGGGCTGTAGACACCCCATCCTTGCATGCAGGCATCCACAAGCTTTCGTTGCCCGTTGTTTTCTCGCACGCGAAGGGCCACGTTGACGTTGCAGGCAGGCTTTGTGCCCTGAAATCTTCAATGAGCAAGCTGAACAACCTATCACTGGATCCTGCAACCGCACCGCCGCGGACGAGCGCCATCCTGCCACAGGGATGTCTCAGTGATGCTGATTCCAAACCACAACTAACGCGGTTCTTGAATAAGGGCTATCCTGTTGTGGGGTGAAAGGGAAGGGAGCGAACCCCCAACTGAAAAAAAGCTCAGGGAATGCATGAAGTGGTCGTCAGACCAGAAGCTTTTGTGTGAGAGCTTGTGTTGATGTGATCTTGGGATGTTCTAGAGTTCTAGACTATTTACTTGCAGAAATGATCACCCTTGCATATTTGTGTTTAGGTACTCATGGACATGGCATTCGAGGCTCAGGCTGTATGCTTTGTGGTTTCACACTGGGCTTGGAGACAAGCCCAAGTCCGAATCTGCAAAGCTGATCCCCGCCTCCTATCCTGATCCCTGACAGTACCCTGCAAGCCCTCAAACCAGAAAATCCCGAAACTCAGCATCACAAAGCCCTATAGCCCCTAAAACTCAAACTTCAATCCGGGGAGTTGGTGCCAGCAGCTTGAGAAGCTCTCCCAGGCGGCCGATTGGATTGATCACCTGAGTCAAGCTATGGGGGTTGCATAGGGTTTATCGAGAAAGCTTGGGTATAGTGGGAGTTTGGGGTTTAAGGGTTTGCTTCATGTGGCAGACCTGCCGCATCACACCACTATCCAGTCTGGGTGCGGACATACTATCCTGCAAACATCCTGTTCTCTGAAAGTAAGGGCCTAGTTTTGGCAAGGGAGAGGGTCTTCCAGTGGGAAACTCGGCTAACACACGTCCCTGCTTGGAGGTGCTGACGCGATGCAAGTCTTTGCCTTTGCTTCTGTCAATCTCATAGATGGAGCTTTCTGACATAGTTTTGAAGGGGCTTTGACAAAGATGCAACTGATCGAGTTTAACTCTTGGATACCCATACAGGTCAAAACCAGGATGGTGCAGTGGCTGCTATACACATGCCTGGCGTTCTTCAGACTTCACGGGGGTATCGAGGTACCTCCTTCAGTCCTTCAGTCATTCAGGGATACATATACCCTAACCGCTCATGAATCCGTGCAGCACTGGGCACAGGCCGTTGTTGCTGCGCGCGTCTCAACGCCTGAGCAGAGCCTCAGACATCGGCGAGGTTCTCAAAAAACGGCCCTTACAGACCCCGTGATATTAAAAGGAATGTCAGGGCACTTGTAAGGATTATTGTGTGGGGGCCGTGTGATGGAAGTTACATTTGAGGCTCGCGTTCCCCGGACACTACTTAAGGCATGGGGGAGCTCCCTTCGCACCGATCTGGCTTTGCTTCAGGGTTTGGGCAGCGGGATGCAAGGATGATTAGCCTCGTGATTAGGATGAAGCAGGAGCACTATATAAGCTGACTGCAGGGACCCATTCTTCACCCCTATACTCCAGAGCGCAGGAGCTTTGGGCAGGGGTGAAGCTTTGGACTTTGAGGTATCAACCGGGGATTGAAGATTGTGCCTTTTCTGAAGCTTGCTGCGTGCCGTGAGGAAAGGGATCCCTCTAATCGCTACATCTGGAGGAAATCCTGAACCCGTTTCCTGGGCCCCGAGGGTACTAGCCCCATGATCGGGAGTGCCGAGATACGTACAGCCTTATATTGCTGAGGGTGGAGGGCATTGCTCTGGCCCATCGCTTCTTAATTTCAGCCCTCGAAGTTGTTTACGCAATTTGGAGTCAGCACATCAGCACAGGGCCCCGCGAACATGAAGCCTGCTTGTGCAATGCTTGCCCACGGATCAATAGTACTCTCGTCCCCCGAAGGAGAGATAATTCCATTGAAGGTATGTATGCGGGCAAAAACCAGGGAGTTGGAGCAGAAAAGGGGAGTTGGTCGCACACGGCTGCGGATCTTCGCAGCTGTGATTCATGCCATCAAACCTTTTGCCCAAAAGTTGCAGCTGAGGCGCTTACGCCTTGCGCATGCATCAGGTATGCCACGGCGGTCGTGCCCGCACGATGTGCTCCCGCATGGCAATGCACCAGCACCTTGCTGCTGTGTCGGGCTTCGCAGTCCAAGCAGTTTTGTCAAAGCAAGGAATAGGTGCATCACGCCTAAGGGCGCTCGCATTTTGTTGAAAATCCCTAAGCACACAAAAGCAGCATGATTTTTGCCCATGATGCTTCGGGTGACACAGTTGTTCTCGTCAGCCTAACGACGACCATTTCAAAAAGCCTGTGGGGTATGCTCAGGATCATACGCGGCTGTTCGAGCCTGCACTGTCTTCAAGCGCGCTGAGCCCGATTGTTTATTCTCTGGAATTATTGTGTCGTCCCGGTTAGAACGTTGGCTATAACCTGAACGTTTTTTCCAACCTAAACTTTCTATTTTGAAGAAAGCCGCATTGCAGCCATCCTCCAGTGCTGCATCCAAGAACTCCCACACGGGGGAGATGTAGCGAAGCGCTTCGCTTGGTGTCTCCTTCTAAGCGTTAGGTAGACGTCAATAGGTCATTAGATAACATGGATTCCAGCTAGACTGTAACACTAGCGAGCTAATGTTCATGGCAATGAAGGCTCTGTTCTGAGGCCACCAAAAATTGCCAGAGGTTTGGTACTACTCTTGCGGTACCTCATGTTGCAAGTCACCTATAAATGTTTGGGAGAATCTGTGTCGCGATGAGTTCGCTGCTCTCATGCGATGCTGCGCCACACTCGGCTGAGCACTCAAATTTTGTACGAATTCTGTCGACGTGAGATGTCTTGGCATCGTGTTCACAAGGCTTGAGGCAGTCAAATGGTTAAGTTGGAGTTTTGAACCCGGTTGGGTCGCCACCTAGCTACGACATCAGGCTCTTTTCCTGTCAAAGTGTTTAGCTCTAAGGCCGCGAGACCTAAAACCCCAACATAGCTGACCGAAGCCCTGAAAGCCTTGAAATCTTCTATACTCCCTAGACCCAGAAGTCTGAACACTCAAGCTGAGACCACGTACAATGCTCTCAAGTCCCAGAGCTCCATATCATCTCGAGGAACGATGTTCCCCAAAAGCAACTCTGTAAATAACATCCCATGGAGTCCCATCCAATTACACTAAACCTATATGAGCTGCTACAAGCCCTCATGCCAAAGACATGCTGTGGCTCCACTTTCATTTCTGCCCGCTTCCAGTTTGCGACGTCGAAGCGAAAATACTGAAATCCAGGACTGTGCTCGAAGTAGTTGGGGGAAGACGGCTCCTGTGCAATGTACAGTTCGGTGCTCATAAGCCGTTAGGCTGACACTTTCAGGAGGGACTTCTGAAAGAGGATACATGAGAATACAAAGGTGTCAAACAGATACGACCCTCAAACACATTGACAACACTAAGCCCGATAAGCGGCATTTTCAGCTTCGGATCCCTAAGCCTTTTGGGAGACAAAGCCCCCATGGGCTCTCGCTCAGGAATGTATCCGCGGCATTTGTGAGAAACTCACGAATAGTTTTGAGCAGTCCAATCCCATAAGAGAATTCAATCTGGGTCGCTGCTATGTTTACGCACTTCTTCTTCCTGCGGCTGACATCATGAATACAGGTTGCTCTGAGACTCTGAGGAAGAGGCTCTCATAACAACAAGTTTGCATTACGGAAACTGATTTTCGGGGCATCGTTGTCCCTCAAGGGTTCCTGCAAACAAGGGAGTCCTGGCAGTTCACAATGTGCCGAATGCTGTACTCCTCCAAGAACCTGTGCTCACACAGGGAGGGCAGCAGCTGCGATGCTCATAGGCGGCTATGAACGACCTGCTTTGCAACAACGATAACACCGCAAAGAATTGTCCTGCTTGATAATCAGGAAAGTCATGACAGCTAACATCATTCCGGATAGTCCTGCTATGGCGGGGTTCCAAATCTGTCTAGCAGTCTGCGACGTACGAAAGGTACGACCCGTGTTTGCGGGTTCTGAAAGAGCCTCCTCAAAACGACCCTAACTTGGGGCCTACCTGAACCCTAATTAGAGCTGTCTCAATGTATCTTAACATGACCTAATAACTTATTGTACCGCCCTCAAAATGGACCCATCATTCTGAAAAAGTCTGGTCTGCGGATGGCAGCGCCGGTATCTTTAAGAGAGCAGTGCAAAGCAGAATCCTTATAGGATCCACATTGTCGGATACACATATGAAGGGTAGATGTGATATCTGCCTTGCCTCGCAAGATGCTCCACATATCTACTCTGCATGTTCCTGAGGAACCACATAGGCATGTGCCGTATCATAACAAAATACCTCACAGGAGTGCTCCAGAGGGCATTGAAGGATGGGGAAGTTCTCCAATGTCTATACGTCGATCCTATCTTTCCCAAATTTAGTAGTTATCGTGCCCCTACATGCTCTCCATCCAGTCTGATGGCCGCATGTGCCTCCTTCAGAAATAGGCCTCGCAGCACAGATTTTGAGGTTGGGATTCTGCAGCATGTAGTCGATCGACTGCAGGTTTCGATGATAGCTTCCCTAGTGCGATGAAAGAGCAAAGCAAGGCAGTCTCAAGGGAAGAACGGACAGTCTTAGTGAACGGTACTCCCAAAACTTTCTGATCTTTTGCGAAATTGGCCGTTTTCGAAGAAAGCCGTTCGTATGCAGCAGCCGGTACTTCAGAAGTTCTAGAGGATTGGAAGTTGAATTCTTCACTCAACCCCCTGACCCCTGAAACCCCTAACCCAGCAGATGACCCCTTCAGACTTGAAAGTCTACATATCCTCAACCAAAGAACCCTGTCGCAAGTGCTGGCTGAGACTCTGTGCATCCTTGGCTGCTAAGTGGCTCCCGACAAAGAGCACTGCACCTACAAGGAATCCAAATAAAAGGTTCGGGCCGCAATCATCAGGGTACGAATGACAGAAAACTGTGATGCCAAGAGCAACTTCAACAGGACATCAGGAGGCTACATGGAAGTTTGCGGGTTCTAAGTTTTAAGTGCGCTTAGCTCAAACTAGGTGATAGCTGTAGGTATACTCTTTACAAGCCCGAGCAGAACTACTTCTGAAGCTTCAAGTCTGGCGATCTGTCTGGAAAAGCAATTGCGCTAGGAACGTGATAGAAGTGGCGCAATTGTAATGGTACCTCATCGGCCTAAGTACCTCCCAAGCCTGAACGCGAGATCCTTGAGTGCTGCTGTTGCTGCAGCTGGTTCTGCTGATGCTTATCACAATTGTTGCTACTGTTTCTTCGACTACTACCGCTGATTCTGGTGCTGCCAGTTCTTCTACTACTCCTTCTGCTACTGATACTAAGACTTGTGCCCTGTGAGGCGCCAGTGCGCGGGTGGCAGAAAACAGCATCGCAGTCGCGGAAGCCGCTGTAGGGATGGAGCTTCCTCGGGTTTTGGGCTTGAGGCTTAGGTTGACGGCTTAGGGAGCTTACAAGAAAATTTGGGGGAATCAGCTATAGGGAAGTATCCTGCTCATTCACTACAGAGTACCAGGTAGAAGCTTTATGGAGAGATCTTCTTGGACTGGCTCAAGTTACCAACGTGGCTCAAAGCTGACGCTTGGCCTTAGTGGGCTTGGGAAAGAGAGACCTTTGAATTACATTCTACTGAAGCCGGCTCCCTGCAAGATGCCGATCTATGGTTCCAAACCCTGGAATCCAGGATGGTGGGGCCGTTGCGGATAAACCTGAAGTGGGGAACAAGTAGACATTAGGCAGCGGGCTTCCTGTGTAGACTGGGGATCAAATGTCTGCTCAGATGCCACGTGAACGTTTTATTTGCGCAAGTGGAGGTTATGCCCAAATCCTGTCGGCTCTCCCACAATGAGGCTTTAGTGAACAGCTTTGGGAACTCGGATCTTGAAGTAGTATCCGCTGTCAAGAGTCTTCAACAACCAGATCAGAAGGTTGTAGGAGTTATCACACGTATTCATACCCACGTCTTCCCTTGGTTTTCATCGTCAGCAGTATTCACTGGTTGTTCACCCAGCTCGCTCGCCAATACCCTTCTGTCTGCATTGGCGTAATGGCCGTAACCGTAGCAACAATGGCAACAGGGTTGTGACTCTAGACTCTCGAGAAACTATAACAAACCGAAACGTCCTCTCACAAGCCTCAGCCAGACACTATAAACTCTGAACAAATCCTAAGGCCTCCGGAATCGTAAGCCACCATGATTTACTTGTCCAACTGCAAAGCCCCTAACACCGTTTTGCCGACAGAGGTGCTGAAACTGCAGCAGTCTCTCGCCTTCTTGGCGGAAGTCGTGCATGGCCCAGAAGGAAGAGATGTGTGGGCATGAGACTTGACCAGCGAGATCAAGGAAACAGCGCATAAATATGTGAGTAGTGTTGGCTAAAGTCCTTTGATCGTGGATAAGATTTGGCTGAGGCTGCAATCCCGGGGAATATCTGTTGGGTATTGGACAACCGCGAATGGCGTTTACAATCTTTTCTCTAAAGAAATTTAGAGGCTCTGGCGCATTTGTTTTGCTGGCTGCGGGCTAGGTCTCGCGGTTCCCAAGTGCTGAGGAACTGTGAGGTGTGACTTGCTCCCGTCATCCTTATCGTGTGGACATGGCTTGAGAATGCGGCTGTGATTTTTACTGTGCGCATGGCTGCCAAGCAAGCTCGCTTCCGTCGCATAGTTAATTAGAAGCCAGCCTTCATTCGGATATCCAACTGCAAAGATACAGCAAGTTGAGGCGCTCCGACACACAACCGGTCTTCTTGCTTTATTCCTGCAAGTACCTGAATCATGCTCATGCTTCCACCATACAGCGCTACCATGCAGCGCTACAAGGCTTTGAACTGGCTTAAGTTTACCTGAGGAGTCTTCATTGCGGGTCCTGAAGCCAGACACCGCAAAATCCTACAGCGTAGGCCCTAAACCTCAGACCCTGAGATGCTCTGGCTGGGGTTGAGGGTACGGGCGGGCTTGTTTCACGTCATTCCTGAGAGGGTCTGGAGAGTAAATCCCCCTTACATCCTAGAAGCTATCTAGGAACAGCGCGCAGTAAATGATTAGGTTCGACGTGTGGGGTCCTTCTTGCACCTTGTAGGGACTTGCATCTGAGCAAAGACCAAACCAAGTAGAATGCCACTTCCCTGAACCCTTCGCTGCTTTCATAGTTCTGCTGAAGACTCGCTACGGGGACTGCAGCAACAATGACAACACATGCTGAGCTGCAGCAGCTGCAGCCGTGACTGAAAGATTGGCAGCAAAATTTTGTCGGTGTTCCCCGCCTGCGCGGCTGCGTTGCTTCCAGCTTTGACGATGTAGACTGCCTGTTCCAACATGGGCATGTTTTCTCCACGCCCATGTGTAAGCAATCCGAGTAGAGACAGCTCCTTTTGCAGCGGCATGCAGGGATTTAACTCAGTGCCACAATGTGGAGACAGCTTTTTTCGGCCGCTTGACGCTCAGAGGTCTGAAGTCCCCTTCTTTTAACAAGTCAGATCCTACTTGCTGTGTCGGCTTTAGGGGAATGCCCTATGTTGGAAAACATGTTGCAATCCAGTAAACACTCTGAACAGAACAAAAAGAGTAGTTTCACTTCAACATGTTCGTGATAGCATTATTTTCTCAATGGTGCAAGTGCGCACATCTGGGGACTCATGAAAGAAAGGAACATGGCATCCTCTAAGTGACTACCCAAGGAAAGGAAGTCATGGAGGGATGGGAAAGGCAATGGGAGGAGGAGGAGCAGCAGCATCCATACTTTGAGAAGCCCCCTTGTTTGCGAGCGTGCCTTTGAAAATGCATGCTGACGGTTAGAGTGGGCAAGGGCGCTTCCGAACCCGCTGCGAAAGGCCAGTGCTTTGCTGGTACGTTAGACTTCGACTTCGTCAAGACATTTGCATCGTAGTCAGTCTCCGCAAAGCATGTGAAGAGTGTTTTTAGCGCGCTTCATGCGTGCAGAACCCATAGTCATATCGTCTCTGGTTGTGCCTGGATGCTCGGTGCGCCCAGGAGAACTGCAGCAGCACTTTCCAGCTTGGCCTTGCGCAGCATTTGGGACTTAGGGATTCAGTATCTGACAAAGGCTTTAGATTCAGGACATTTTGGCATCCAACTCTTCATTCCTTGCTAGAGTAGGCTGAACGTCCAGATCGGACTGCCAGGTTACAAGTAGATCTCAATTCAGAAAACCCAGAACTATCCCACCTCTAACTACCCGCACACCTG